CTGGCGAAGAGTTTTCACCAACCTTGTGAGTAGTTTCCTTTATGAAAATATACTGCAATATCTCGAATATCATGCCAACTGAAACACGAGGCGACCTGTGTGCAGAACATTCTGTTGAAGAACATCACAAACGAGAGATTCAGTTGAGTCTGTTGTGAAAACGAAATTGATTTGCAAATGAGCGTATTTCTCGAAGACCATTGTAAGTACTTTGGTGGTCAACTGCCGTATTAATGTTGCGGTCTTTTTCAATAAAAGCGTCAGTCTGAAAACAGTGGGGCGTGGAAGGGGTCCAGTGATTATCTTACCAGGGAATCCCAGACTAGTTATCAAAATCCGTACCCTCAATGGTCACGCAAAAGCCACGGGAGCATAAAAACAGGAAAAAAAAGTCCCGGTCGCTGAGAACGCTGGGTCTCAGACAGGTACTTTTTCGATCAATCAACACAACAAAAACTGGTAGCATTTTTGATAGAACAATTGCAAAACTGCCGAATGGTGGGGGAGACCTTGGAAGATTCTCTGTACTTGACCATCGGTGCCTCCACAGCACTGGGTGAGTCCGTCCAGCAAATCAGAGATACGCCAAATGTTAGTCGGCAGAGTTCACTTTCGCTAGACAGATCGGCCGGTCACAGTCCACAGGTTACTCTGGTTAGGCCACGTACTTTGTGTGCTAAAGGGCTGTTCGCCTCGGAGAGCCCTCTTCTTTGTCCTTGTCCAGGAGCGGTCGGTCCATGACTTGGCAACGGGGCATGAAAGCTATTGCCAGTCAACTCAGTCGCGTTGGTAACTGTCCTCTCCCCGGTCAGGGACTTGAGGACGAGAAAAACCATACTGGACGAATAGAACTATTCGACGTCAATGAACTGACTGGGGAATCGCCTCCAACGTGGTTCTCATTACCTGGTTCAACTGAGCTTCGGTTCGACGAAGTTGTACAAGTTAGAAACTATTGCTGTTTATTAGTATATAAATTAAACAGAATGCACTCTGCAGGGCGCACATTCATTCTAGGAGAGAATGGGTTTGAAAGCAACATGAGATGGGTAGACTCACGGGTTCAACTGCGAGGCCTCTAATCCCAGTTCGCGAATGGCGTCGTTGTATGACATATCCACCGGTTTCTTCTCATTCTCCTCACGCCAAGCGCGGAGTATGTCCCGAAGAAGGGCAATCTGTCGATTAGATGGAGAACAAGATCCGAGGTCAGATGGGATAAGCAGGGATGAATTGAGAGGAATGTTAACTGGTTATCGATCCCCTGTGAAGAATGCCGACGCCATGGGAATTACTGTAAACGACAATCAATTACGAAGTGGCCGGACTATCCCAGTTGCAAGTCATCAGTCGTGAAATTTGTGTACATCGGTAAAAACACACGGCGCTCAGTATTCGCACAATGAAAAAGGACTTTCGAAAGCTACGGCGTGTGTCTGATGGAACAAAACAGACAGGCAAATGAGTTCAGAGTACCGGTCCAAACTTTCGAGCCCCATCTAGGCATCCCGAGGCCTCAGCGATGCTGGGTAGGTATTCCACCAGATGTATGATTGCTTCAGTGGACAATGAAATTTGGTGAGCCGCAAAAATATGAACGTAGATTAGGATGCTTTTTGGTTTGAGCGCATACGCAACAAAATGCAACATTTCGGCGAAGAAAGTCATCCGAAAGGTTTTGCAGCTAATTGGCGCCAAAACACACATGACGTGAAGGGATGCGTCAAACTGACTGATCATGGACGGCCCAATGTGCAAACACGCCACCTGACATAGAGTGACTGTGCCTATGCGCTATAAGAGGACTTGTGGGTCAACCGAAAAAGGCACCACAGCCATAGGCACGTCTCAGTCGCGGAAGCTCGGGTCATCTGGCATCTTTTTATGTTAACACTGTGAAGCGAGCAGAAAACCGGGCGATTCCTGTCCGACGCGCTGTCTGCTGTTTGGAGCAGACCGCCTAAAGCAAGCATACAGAATCAAAAAGAGAGCTCAACCGGAGAGACCTATGGTCGACTTGATACTTGTGCGTGAGTTTCGTTCTGTGAAGGGACCTCAGACACGCACTGCCCATTGTTGTTTATCCACTGTATCACTTGCCGTTCAACAGACTGTAACCCTGGTATTTTCAAAGATACATTTTCCGCTTTGCTACAAAGACCTAAAGGTTTGATATCTTTGTGACTCCCAGGCAAGTGGGCGAGCTTAGAGCTGCTAAAGCCAATGAAGTAGAACTGGAATCTATGCACACAGATGATGATGATGAGCTCTGCTGCAGTTATGTGCCGATCACAAGGGGCTTCTGTGCAGTACTACCTTTCGGAATGACCATAGGGTGTCGTCGGGTGAATTCTGATAGTCCTATTGTTAAGCTTGTGCGGGACAAAGGCAGGTATGACTGTATGTAAGCTGCACAAATGTCGCTCAGCTATTGTAGAGACTTCGTACTCTAGAGTGGACCAGCTTCATCAAAACAACCTATTGTAATAAAATAATAAAATCGTTCAGCTGTAGCACCCTTTCAGTGCCTAGCTGCCAAGCCACCCAAAGGGAACATGAGGGTTGGGATACTGCCAGGTTGTCCAAGCCTAGACAGGCGAATTCGAGAGGCAGAGGTCGGGTTCGAACCACAGGCTTTCCGGTCATTAAGTTCGCGCTCTAACCGCTGAACTATCTCGCCCCCTATTGTAATACGCTTTGACGGATTCATCTTCTGGTGCTGAAAAATACTAGCTAAGAATTTCCCACAACTTGGTACTCTGTTTATGGCCAAGCACAACTAGCCACATCAGGTTTTAGCGTCTCCAAAAAGGAACAAGGGGGAACGAGAAACTGTGCAACGATGCCCTCAGAACAACTCGGAGCCTTCGAGGACTTGAGAGTTCGCGTTCTTTCTCCCAGGCACCATCGAGCGAATAGTTACGACGAAATTCTACCTGCTCTGCTTAGGAATGAACATGATATCCAGTCGGTGCTTCCCTAATTTGTATGTCCCTATCTGGTGTGGACTGGTCCAACAGGATGAAGAAACTTTGAGAATGTGTGAAATCTGTTCAAAGGTTGCCGGTGATCAAAACAACCAAAACAACACGTTTATCACTAGGACTAAGGACTTCACGAGTCGGGTCGAACATTTTGAGCAACAACGCCTGATCAGTCTCTGTCGTTCAGACCTGGGCGGTGAACTTGAAGACTCTGGCAATCAATGAGCTATTAACCGGATGCCTGTTAAAACATCACTCTTTTCATGCTTTCTTATAATAGCAAATACGGACATTACGCGAGAACGGCAATCAGGACTCAGGTCATGAAGGGATTGTGTAGACATATTAGCGCGGTCCAACAAACAAGCGTGTAAGCATCCCACAATCTGGGTCGTCCTTTACTTCAAGGGTGCGTTCGAATCTACAGACCGATCAGCTCTCCTAAGCAAGTTTATCCCACGTGTGCTTTATACACACAGAAAGAGAATTATGGCGCCTGTGAGTGTATGGAGATCTCTCCAAAAGTTTGGATACATACAGTAGTGTCCCATCCCATCAGAGTAGGCACTCTCTCCACTTGATTGACTTCAAAGCTGGTTGGGAAATGGGGTGGGTGACGAAGCAACAACTGATGGATAAGGCTTGAACTGCAGGCTTAGGGTTATGTGATACACGTGACAGGATATTGCACATTATGATTGGCGCTGTTTGTCGTGATGAAAGCATACAGGTTGATTAAATCTGACATAGGGAAGGGAATCTGAGGATACACAGGTGACGCAGATGCGATTCGCCTTCCCGGAAGAGGCCGACACGAATCCCTCTATGGTTATATTGTAGGGCCACTAGACAATGTCATTGTCCGTGAACTACCATCCAGATTGTCTGAATCAAATTACCTCGAATATCGAGGACCGACTACGATTTAAAATGTTTGCTTCTCCTAACATGCTGTTTATATAAATACACTAACAACTGTGTGGAAGTGGAGCATTGGAGATTTCAACTAGCGATGCTGTTGATGATGACGCCATATCCGTATCAGTCACTGAGATACTTCAATCATGCGGACCAGAGGAGATGAAACTAACAGATCGTGGGAGAGATGCCGAGGTAAAACTGACAACTAGCGGTTGCTTCGGGCTATCGCACCGATCCAGTCGTTGCTAGCCTATGAGACAGCATATTACAAACCATTAACGGACCACCGAGAAACGCAGATGAATACCAGGCGTTAGTCAAAGATCCAGCAATGACAGGGCATGCTCTAGACACTGGGCATAGAAAATGTGGACATCCTGAGACGGGGTTTAAGATTCACACCACAGCGACTGGTGGCCGAGGCGGTGGAAATCGCCAAGCATCCGAGTGTGAATAGAATAGAGGGGGTAGAACTTGCTAACGTGTGGAGAGCGGTCTTAGATCAGCCGAGGTGACACGAGGTGGTGTGCAGTTATCAACGAAATGGCCTGGGTCCAAAAGTACAAAATCTAAGTAGAGTGAGATACAACTAACCACCCCACCCCCATCCCCAAACCAATTGTCCCAGCACCCTTCGACGAACACAGGTGAACGAAATCTGTGCACGACCCCAAGAGAAATTTTCCATTAAGGTTTCCTAGACTGAAGAAGCAGGGACGAAAAAACCCGGGATCATCATAAAGCAAAAAATCCACCGATTGTTTAACAAACCCCGCTGAAACGATGACTTCCCAATCGGTCCCAAACATTTTTCAGTTGATTGAAAAGTGATGGGATGTCTAGGACGGATTATGAAAGCAAATCGTTGCTGTTTCGAGGTTGTGTTGTTACATGATACTTACTGGTCGCCGAAACAATGGATGATCACCAGGAAAAGTGATAACTGACCAACGGAGGTTAGGCTGTTCCGGTGAGACAGAAAACGCTTTATTGCAACTCGAAAAGGGAACCATGTCAACTAAGACTAAGTACGATAGCCGCTTGATAAGGATATTGTGAAGTCTGCTCATCAGTTGGGCGAGACAACAAAGACAATAGGTCCACAGACCAAAGGAACTCCAATTTAGCCCTCATCAAAACAAAAGTCTGAGAATTTGATGTACTAACGACATAGTCTAGCAACCGAGGTGAACAGGTTTCCATACCTTAGTCCTCATCAAAACAAAATTGTGAGAAATTAACTACAAAGGCTAGCGACCGAGGTGAACGCGTTTCCATATTACTGAAATGCACTCGGATGATAAACCCACCCATTCGGGAGTGAGGCGAAAATATTGGCACGATTTATGGTCCGGAGGGGGTATCGCACAGATGTTTGTTAGCAAACTTTATCAGACAGGGGAAGCGCGAAGTATTTTGTTGGAACGGCGGGATTCCGAAGGTTGTCGAAACGACTTACCGGATCACGAATTGGCCAATCAGGAAATCGGATGGTATCACACAAGTGGCGGAGATAGTAGTTGTGACAGAACAACTCGTTTTCCAGTTGCGGATACACTATCAACGGTATACCGATGTACTGATACACTGCCCGTGTATTGCTGTGCAGTCGAGGAGAGAAATCGGCAAGATGGGAAGCAATGCGTCCGATCAGGAACCGTCTGAAAGTGACCAAGGTTAGAAGGAGAATAATATCGGGTGGACAGAAAATAAGATCACATACGGAACTTTTCACAAAAAACAAGACCAATAGCAAAATCAAAATGTGACTGAAGGACAGTAGAAGATCGAGTCTCCACGACTCTAAAAGTTCAAGTTGGCGATTCGGCACCTTGACAGGATACCTGAGGCTATCAGGCCCCGGAAAAATCGTCAATTCTGGCATCACTTGGACACATCGGTGTCACAAAAGCCCAAAGAATAAAGCCGGTTAAGAGAATGCCAATCCTAGACAAGAGCCATTGGAAGAGTTTCGGACCACTTGGTCAATAACAGTTCCAAAACGTAAAAGGGCGGCCTCATGTTTTAAAAAAAATATAAATTGTCCAGCTGTAGCACCCTTCCGGTGCCTAACTGCCATGCCACCTGAAGGTTGCACGAGGGTTGGGATACTGCCAGGTTGTCCAAGCCTAGACAGGGAAAGTCGAGAGGCAAAGGTCGGATTCGAACCACTGACCTTGCGGTCGGTAAATTCGCGCTCTAACCACTTGGGCCATCTCGCCCCCTCATGTTTTAGATGGAACAAAACACCGGAGTATTTTTCCTCGTATGGCACTCGTTAAAAGGCTGGTAAAAACTCTGCGCGTCCATTACCGATTTCGCTTTCCTTAGGGCTCATCAAGTCAGCCTAGTCTCTAAATTTACATCAACTGTATCTCGTAGTTGATGAGTACTATATTGAATGTATACGCAGACAAACACCAATTCGCAAACGAAAGTGAGGTTAGAGGGAGGCCCGTTAACACCATCTTTAAGTGTCGTTAACACCACCATTAGGTGTACATGAGTCGTTTACTTCTACCAGACCAGCAAACAGCTGAGGCCTGCTAGCGAAACCCGGAGAGAATTGAATTCTGTTCCCATCCCAACTCCCCAGAACCGTTGTGCTCAACATTTCCACGGAACAGTGAGAATATGAGGCGACACATATGCACATACCGCATTTCTGCATTCCATATGGCCTCAGGCGAGTCAAAGTTGCCCAAGAAGATTTCGGCGAACTTCTCGGCAGGATGATTTTCCAAATAAGCAATCATCGCGTCCGGGAGCATGTTACCCAAAACCGAACGAGAAGTCAGATCCGAGCTAGACAGATGGTGACTCTGGGATGGAAAGTAAGAGAGAAGAATATGAGGACGGTAAAGTGAAACGGTGGGAGAGAAACAGTCTGAGTGCTGTGGGTTGTTGCTTCATGGTGGAAATGTTTCTGATTACATTACATCGTTTGATTTGATATAACTGCTATCAGGGTGAGGAAGTATCTGTTACGCGGAATTCCACACGGATCCCGCTTTACCATAGCACTCAGGTGCTACTACAGCCAAGAAGTCCATCCCAAGCAAGAGTGGCCGAGAATTTGGAACGCTTGCCGGTCCGGCATCAAAACGAGGTCTGATTGGTCGAAAGTCTGGACCCGACAGCCGATCATGACCCAGCATTGGCCGAATGCCGATTGCCAATGGCGAATCCAGAACGCGTCGAAATTTCCAGAAAGTTATTGCCATATAAGCTACATATATGAAGCGCTGTACAAGTGTTCCTGACTTCGTTTTGTGCGTTAATATACCTTGTGCACCCCTGTTGGTTGTTTTGACGTGAACGCTAGCTTGGGAGGCTCAAACCGAGAACTAAGCTGAGAAAAATGCCATTACTACAGTATCAATGTCAGCAGTGATTTTGCGGTCGCTGACCATGGTGATTTGCAGTGTAGTCATTGACATTTTCGCTAGACGAGAAACAGATGCAAAAGGCAGGAGCAGGGAGAGATGGACGAGGAACCGTCATGAGCCGTCAAGTAAAGATGCTCAATCTGGTCGTAAAGGCTAAATTATGCCGAAAAGTCGAGAATTGAGAGCTTGAGAGCCTGGAACATGTGTAACCTATGGCGCAGAAAATAAGCAGTGCTCGACCAAGCAACAACACAAAACCTTCTAGTTGTGACGCAGGCTACTCCGCCAGTGTTGAAGTCCAAAACACGTTTTTGAATATACTACTATAACCTTGCAAGTAACAAGGGGCACGAAAGAAGTTTTGACCAGGAGCTCAGTCGCCCAGGTCTATGAGTAGGATGTTCAAACCTCTTATCCGAATGAAAAAGAGATGGCTGCCAGAGTTGGGATGGAAGGAGATGCAAGGCCGTCCATAGCTATTTGGAAACAAGGCAAAGCGTACACATCGCGTGTACAGCAAACATCTGTGCGAGCGAACATGTTAGTTCGTGATAAAAGACGGCTTGTGAGTGTCTGCTCGTCATTCAAGCTGGTCAATAGTGCCCGAAACCACAATGGATCAATTACGAAATTATCTGAAATCATGTTCACTAGCCTAATATTTAGAGAAGCAGCGGTAAAAATATGAAAAATGAAAAAATGAAAAATATGAAAATATGAAAAATGTTACTGCTTTCTGTTGTCGCTCCTATGAGAGTATTATACTGAGGTATAGGATAATATAAACCAAAGAGGTTATGGATAAATCTGAGCGCGAAGCAACTCGTTTGACTCAGGCTCAAAAACCGAAAATGTGTTGGATCAGGCGGTCTCTATCACTTCAAGTTTGGCCACGGGGACTTCCCCCAGGATTGACAACAGTTCCAACGTCTGAATGGAACTTGTGTAGGCCAAAAACTGATAGCCATTGGCCCGATAACAAGGGAAGTGAAAACGTTCGAAATTATTCTGACAGAAAACAAAGACTGTAAGGCCGTATCAAACTCAAATTCCCGCCAACTGACCGTAAATTTCCTGAATAATACTTTAAGCATAACAATTCAAGTGAAAATAAGTCGATCGATGAACGACCACGTGACGCTGAGCTAAAAACCAGGTGTTGTTCTCGATCAGCTGATTAAAAACAAACAATAACAACATCGGCTGGTTGTTTCGCTCGCTTCAATCCGAACACCAGTCTTGGGAAAGACACCTAGGTTGGGAAAAATGACAACTGTTCTTCGAGTGCGCAATGAAGCAATAAAGACGGACACGTATTTCGGTCAGTGAACTAAGCTTCAAGTTGGCAGCTGAGAAATTCGAACGGGCATCCACGGCAAAATCATCAAACTGCAAAAGGGACTTACATCTTCTAGCCGGAATGCTTGAAGCAGATGAACATCTTTGAGAAAACGTGCGATCGGCAAGACGTTACTGCCAGTATACATAAGGATAAAGAAGAATACACCGGTAAGATAGAGACGAGGCAGACAGGGGTTCTGATCCAGTAGCACGTGTAGCAACGAGACCACTCGTTCGACCAAGGGTGGGTCAAAGGTCAACAGAAGCTGTATGGGTTACAGAAAAGACAGGTGTGTCAGAGAATTGAACAGGGGATAGGAAAGGTGCAAAAAAAAAACACTTCTAACCAAAACCTTACCTGGGTCAAATGTGTCAGACACTGCGGTTGGCTGATCACCCGGCGTGGTTTCGGGAGAGGACGGACTACACCACCACGAAGATCACGTGAAGAGCAACTATCACATAGTTTCCGCAGAACATCCACACAACGGATCGCCAGAGTTGTGTAGTCTAATAAAGCACCCTGGCTGTAACCCAGCTGGTCGATTAAACTACCAACACCTTCTGTGCCTTTGGAACGGGAGGTAGAAGTGAGCACACCACCACCACCAGTGGCAGCCGATGCGGTTTGGGGATCGAAATCTACGGACGTCGCCTGCGGGTTCAGTAGTTCAGGTACAGCCCAACGTAGCTGAACGACACGGCGAGCAGAGATCCAACCAGAAAGAGACCGTGCACCTGTGGGACTTTGGGCGGAACTGTTCGAGGTTGTGTTGGCTGAGGAATCGTTTTGTCCCTGGCACAAATGGGCACGTTCCCATTCCGCACTTTCTTCATCGTCTGCAGCCAGAAAACCGTCGGGTCGACACCGGGGAATTACATCAAGTCCTTGAGCATATACGAACGTGTTGGTCGTAACATGTTTGGTGGAGATTAACTTTCGTAGCTAAAAGAAAAATAGGAGAGCGGCTAAAAATTGCGACACTGTGCGGCCAAATGCAGCGAACATTATTCAAACAAAAGATGTCACAGACACGATGTGTGGTGTAGACTGCTTTGTGATACTCGAACTGAACAAGTGTCTGAATTTGCATAGGGAAAATGATTTATGTGTGGAAATGTGCTTCTACTGGAGAAGGAAACAATAAAATCAACGAACTTCCCACACAGAACGCTTGCTTCGAACCTCACGGACCTGAACAAGTGAATTTGCATAGGGAAATGATTTATGTGTGGAAATGTGCTTCTACTGGAGAAGGAAACAATAAAATCAACGAACTTCCCACACAGAACGCTTGCTTCGAACCTCACGGACAAAAGGAAGGCGCGATCCTTGGTCTGGTTCGAACAGTTTGAATACCGGTGAACATTAAGGTAGCTTATAAAACTAGCCACCGATCCTCATAGGGGAGGTTGCAACTCAACCAGCGAAATCTTGAACAGTTGAGCCAAAAGGGGTCTTCTGTCACCTGCGCACACGGCTGTTTGTTTCGTTTGATGCCTAAAAACCACGTACCTGCAGACAAGTCTACAAGTGTTTACGGTAGTGAGGCACCAGTGTTCTCATCTAGTGTTGCTGCCAGTGATCACGATGAACCTTGGGTGCTTGGTTCATGCGCATCCATGAAATATAATTTGACCAGCTAACGATAAAAAGCCAGCTTCTCGCCTATTTTGCCATAAATATTTGCGGGCGAAAGCGCATGCGTGGATGCGAGTTCCGGGAACGAAAAGACACTAGACAAAGCTGGGAATATGGGTCAACTACATCGTACCGCTACTGATGCTCAAAGATAGAAACCAATTAGGTGGTGAGGTGATTGGAAGTCAGAAACCAGACATCGCGTCTGAGTGAACAACCCACCTCCGAAAAGCTCACAGGACCTTGAATTTTTGCCATATTCTGGTCAGTAGAACCGGTACCGTTTGCAGTATCCCCATTGACGAGGGCCGATTGCTGGGCGGGTCGTGGCTCACCACCAGGGTTGTACCACCACCACTCGCGTTGAGTACTGGCCCCACCTTCGTGAGTATCCTGCGACGCGCTAGCTTTGAGCACATTGGACTGAAGTGGGGTGGAAGCTCGCGAGGTGTGCAAATGTGACAAGCAAGCCAAATCGATCAAAACGCGGACCCCGTCGGCATCCACCAACGCATCGACGTTGTACTAGAAAAAGGCAGCGATCAAATGTGAATGATACGAAATAAGTACACACGGTATTCTCATAAAAGGGAAACTTCGAAAAGAGACTATCACCCTAGGGAAATCACAGCAGCATTAATCAAAAGCCGCAACTTAACGTGTGATTCTAGCCTCTAGAAGAGGCTAATCACCCAAACCTCTCGTAATGGACTCTGCTGGTAAGTAACGTATGCAGCTGCCCCCATCTGGGAAGAATACCTCTAAGAGACCGCTTCCAGCCGTTCAAAATATACCACTTTTAGCGGTTCCTTCAGCAGTTCTCTCCACCATTGTAGTACCGAAACAAACGTGCACAGGACAGAAACGTACCCTGTTCAGCATGAGTTTATTCAACAGAAGCAGAAGGCAATCACGTTCAGAAGCAGATGTCGTTCGATCCAACAAATACACCAACAGTGGAATGTCCGATACTGGACCAATCTCTGCGTGACACCGTCCGTAAACAACCGCCATGGCGTGCAAGCACAAACAGCGCATCGACAAACGGTGCGCACGCTGCTGACCGTCTCGACTGCTGCGCGGTGTGGCAGATGAAAGCTGAGCGAACGAGTCCAACGAGGGCCCCGAAGCAATGTACTGGAGATAGCGACGGAAAAGGTCATTGAAGAACTGTTTGCTGTGGACGACAAAAGAGAGATAATGGAGTCAGCGGAGGTGGAAAACAACAGGCGGACATGAATCCGATGAGGAGAAACACATCAGAGTCAAAATGAGCAATTCGGTGACACATCGATCAAAACACATATCGTGCACAGATAAAACTAAGAAAACGGGAGTGCCATGAATCTTACCTGTCCCGTATTCGAGACAACCCCACCGCTGGTTCTGTGGTGCTCACATCCAATGGAATCGTTGCATCCTCGCCGTGAACTCGTTTGTCTTCTTCCAGCAACAAACGGAGATAATAGTTACCAACTCGCGGTTCGCTGGCCAAACTAGGGTGCTCCACTTTGAACTCGCTATGATTCCACGAAACCAGACTGGCTTGTTTGATGAGGCGCCGAGCGCTGACTTGAATTGGACTGGGTGGGGGCGTTGGATTGGACGTTGTAGTTATCAACCGTGCGGGTGGAGAACTGGAAGCATTCCCGTCCAAACTAGGCAGTCCGTTCCTGACCTCAGACGGGGTGGGAGGTTCCGAAGACGAAGTCTCATTCGTGGTCGTAGTCGGTGTTGCCTCAGCGCCCGCATGTTCAGTGGTATCTGCATCCAACCGCGGGTCGTTGTGCGGATTCTCCATCATGCTTTGCGAAAAATAGTCCCGCTCGCGCTTGAACTCTTGAATCTCCTTGTCCATTGCTTCGCGCAACTCATTTCGTGTCTGAAGCAAAGTTGAATAGCCAACAATGAGGTGAGAACTCGACACGGTGAGCGACATAAGTTACGACAGCGAATCAAAAGTAGACGGCTGGAAGTGAGCCTGAATTTCACTGAATACTCTGGAATACCTTAAAAGCGGAGGAACAGTGCTGGGGTAGGTATGGGAACTCTTACAATCATATCGCTATCCAGGGTTTCTCCCACCCGAAGTCATGGGCGACTCAGTTCGTGTGCATGCCAAGTCGGATAGTAGGTAATGCAGTTCAGGGAAGCCTATAGAAGACACTGATGGCAGAGTGCCACGGTCTCTCTCTCTCTCTCTCTAAATGAGACAAAAAAGCAATGTTTCTTCGTCCTGCTGCACGCGGCTGTCAGATAACTGCGTTGGATTTGTTTAGAGGCAGCGAGGCGGTTAGCACCACGACTGATGGAGTCGCCGCCACGAAGTAATCGGTTAGTGGGGAAGAAGTTAGACACACTGTATCAGACAAAAACGACGGGATGTTTTCGTCCTGGCTATTGCTTCATTCGGCTCAGGATTAATCACTGCTCGTAAACCGGAGTTCCCGTTAGAGGAACATTTGTCTGAGTGTAAATTACTTTTACTGATGTGACATCTTGATTGGATATCAAGGTGATGTTTGAAGACCACCACGTCATCACTAGAAAACACAAACAAGTGAGGGGGTTCGAGAAATACACTCATTTGCAAATCAATTTTGTCTTCACGAGAGACTCAACTGAATCTCTAGTTTGTGATATTCTACAACTGAATGTGCTGCACACAGGCCGCCTCGTGTATCAGTTGGCAAGATATTCGAGATATAAAGGAGACTTAAGGTTGCTGAAAACTCTTTGACAACCCACAACCGGTTTCGCCCTTCTTGGGGCTCATCAGGTAGGCACAGTCCCCGAGCCGAGT